GTTGACAGTGATAAAAGCTAGACTTCTATGAATATACTTTGTTTTGTAGATTTAATTCTTAAGGCATGTCAATATTTTGCTTATAGAGCAATTATATGAGTATAGCCATGCATATAAACCTATACATACATGTACATATGTCCTTCACAGGACGCTGTTTTCAGGCTAAGAACAACCCTAATGGAAAAGGAACCTACAGATGGACATGACAGTTCTGGGACCATTCTTCCCAAGGAAGAAGCTGGGGGGTGCTGGGCTGCAAAGCCAGAGGAAGTGCCGGAGGAGAGACCGCCAGGCACGACTTACCTCCACCTTGCTCTCGTGGTCATGGTCAGCAGCAGAGAAATACACAACCTCCTGCACTTCTTCTCTGGGCCGCGCTGAATTTTTCCCGAAAACCACCAGGCCATCCTTGGCACGCGGCGGGAAGGCCACAAAACAGTAACTTGGAGGAGCCACCGCCATCCTGGAAAGAGAACAGGAGGACAGATGGAAGCGGGCCGAGCCTGGGCCCCTTCCAAACACACTTCTTCAGCCACATCGCACGAGCTAAAACGGTCGGAGCGGTGAACTGTGTGCAGCTCGTTCATTAAGATCCCCGCTGGCGAGTGAAGGCAAGGTGCCTGGGGTAAAATGACAGAGCCCAGGGGACCAGATACTGTGCAGGACTCGTGGGATTGAGGACGCAAAGATGGGCGACAGCAGACAAAAGCGCAGTGACTGAGGAGAGAGGAGAGGAGTGATTGTTGCAGGCAGAAAACACAGACTGCCATCTGTCACTGTTACTGAAAAATAAATAAATACACTCTAGACCCAAGGCACGATCCAGAACTACAGCGCATCGCTGCCATGGAACGGCTTTTGGATCTGTAATAGGAGGCGTTCTGGCAGTGCTATGGTTGGCCATTTCGTTGCTCACCAAAGGTTTGGGGGTTTGAATGCAGCAGCTACAGGCCTAGGGATCCGCTCCCGTCACGACCACAGCCCAGGGAAACCCTATGAGCTGTTCTCTTCTCCGCTGGAGTCGCAATGAGTCGGAACCGACTAGCAGGGACACGCCAACAACAATCGGGTCACATGGAACACTGCCCCCTTTGGTATTTTTACTCGCCTTCAATGATGTTAGGCACCTTTTGGTTTTCAACCCACCTCTCTCTCTAGACGCTCTGAAAACACTCACCACCATCCAGTCGATTCTGACTCAGAGCGACCCTAGATGCTCCGGGACTTGCTTATTCTTTTCTATCTGGCCATTCAGAGTCACCCCGGCTTGATCCTTGTGGTAGTTACGTAATCTGTTGTCAATTTGAGACTTATGAGCGAAGGGGTGGAGTTTAGCCTGTCAATCAGGTTGCAGCCTGATGACCTCATTTGGAGGTGCTAAGGAGACCAATAACTCACTGGAGGCGGGACACACACTCACTCCCTGCAAGGCATTGCTGATGAGGAGCCACATGAAGCTACCCTGATGCAGCCAGAGCCCTGGGAGCTGGAGAAGCCACAGGGAGACCCCTGCCAGCACTGAGATGCTTTTACAATGCCATTGGATCCACAAGACTTCCCACCCACTGGCCTGTGATCTTCCTGCATTCGGCTTCATTGCGTGTGTTTTGTGAATCTGAAGAGGATTTTATAGATTGGTATCAGACATATGGGCTAATATCAAACTTATGGACTTGATCTGGACTGTTTTCTCAATATTCAATTGCTCTTGTATAGAAAGCTCTTTCCTACACAAATATGCGTGAGTGTCTATGGATTTGTTTCTCTAGCTACCCAGACAAGACCATCCTTCTTTGCTCATTTGGTGCACCTTCTCTCTGAGAGCGAAGCCCCGGTGGTGCTGCCACGGGTTAGGCACTGGGCTGCTAAGCTCAAGGTTAGGGTTCAAACCCAGCAACCATTCTGTGGGAGAAAGACGAGGCAGGCTGCTCCCGTAAAGATCCACAGCCTTGGAAACCCTGGGGAGCAGTCCCATGTACTCTGCCCGACAGGGTGGCCACGAGCAAGCTCAACAGTAGTGCACTTGGTTTTCAGTTGTTAGTGGTTTTGTTTTAATCCACGGAGGAGTCCCTGAGTGGTGCAGGGGGGAGCATGCTCAGCTGCTAGTCCAAAGATCTGAGGTGTGTTAGTCTGGGTCCTTTAGAGAAACAAATCCTCAGAAACTCATGTATAAGAGAGAGTTTTATATAAAGGTTAAGTGCTTATCAAGAAAACAACCCAACCCAGTGCTGCCCAAGCCCACAAGTCCAACATTAGCCCATATGTCCAACACCAATCCACTAAGTCCTCCTCCATCTCACAGAACACACCAATAAGGCCGACTGCAGGAGGAAAGCCAAATCAGTGAATGTGTAAGCATCTCAGCGCTGGCAGGGGTCTCCACACAGCTGCTCCAGCACCCAGGGCTGCATGGGGGTAGGTCCATGTGGCTTCTCCCCAGGGATGTCTTGCAGGAAGTGAGCCTTGCAAGCTACAGCAGGGAACGGGCAAGGCAGCTGCACCCTGGTCTGCTCATCACAAAGCAAGAGACCTGAGAACTAGAAAGGCAAGGCTCATGGAGCCATTTATCTCTCTGCCCTTCAATTAACCCCACATGCATTTATCGGCCAGGTTGGCACAATTAACTTTGACTATCTCAAGGTGTAAATCCACTCAGAAGTGCCCTGGAAGGTCTGGCAATCTCCACCAGAAAACTCCTTAGTTTAAAACCCTAGGAGGCATAATTCTACTCTGTTACACTCGAGTTAGAATCCACTCAATGGCAACTGGTCCCTCTGGAGAAATTCCCCCAAGGCCCGGGACTCCCTCCTCATGTAGGTGCTAATGGATGACCCACTCCTGGTATGTCTGCCCAATTCCTTCTTGAACTCCCAACCCATCACTCAAACTGAGGTCCAAAGTTACTCAGTTACCTGCATCCCACACTAGTTTCCTTTCCAAAGGTCCCTATTTCAGGACCCATCTTTGACCACCTGCTTTTCCATGACCAAGCGCAGGGCTTCTTAAACTATTCCCCGACTGGTAATCCCTTCAGACCTGAGAAATTTGCAACATGGACCAGAGCTGCCAGAAACCCCTCAGGTTCATGATGCGCTTGATTCCAAATTAATTATTGGTACGTTGCACATTCAGGAAACTGTAACTATTGCTGACTCCTTCAAGACCTTCAGTTATAAGACCCCACAGTTTAAGAAGCTGAAGAAACCGTCCAGATCTTTGTCCACTCTTCTGCCCCTCCACTGCCACCACCCTGGCCCTCTGCAGTAGTCTCGAGGAAGTCACTTCACCCATCACCTCCAATGGCCCCGCTCCAACACATCCTCCACGTTGCCGACAGAGCGATCTTTTTAAAGGAAGATCTGAGGGTTTTACGCCCAGCTTGAAGTTCGCCAGAGATTTCTCACTGCTCTTACGACCAAGCTCTGCGACCCTGTCTGTTTAACTGTAATTGAGCCTGGAGAAGGACACTGAGCTTGGTAAAGAGGAAGAGCAGCAAATAGGAGGAAGGCCTTCAACAAGACGGCTCACACCACGGCTGAAACGACGGGCTCAGGCATCGGAAGAATTGTGAGGCTGGCGCAGGACGGGGCCGTGTTCCGTCTATTGTGCATAGGGTTGCTATGGGTCAGGACGGACCCAATGGCCCCTAACAACGACAGCAGCAACCAACAATCAATACTGGTCTCCTCTTTCGGCCAAACTCTAAGTAATTGGAAGGCAGAGGTCATGTCTCTTTAAAAGGCTCACCATTCTAAACCCAGCTCTACAAAATGTCAGAGGCAGAGGGGCCTCGTCAGTAATGAACTAATGTTCCTCTCTTTTTCCTAAGACTCCCCCACGCTTACATGAACGCTCCACGGCCCCTTTTCTCAGCACCAGGCCTTCAAGATCTAATTCAAAAACCTCTTAGTCAGTTACTTAGCCCCCCAAAGCACTAACATTCCCACCTGGTGCACATTTGATGGGAGACACTGTTTATAAGGTACTCTCTTGGCTAAGTCAAAGAAAGCTCCCTGAGGGTAAGCAGCCAATTCACCCATTTAGCTCCTCTTTCCCCAATCCCTTTCCTGATAAGCACTCAGCAACTTTATCTGGTGAGCCCACTATTGTATTCATCTCATCCAGGGGTGGGATTCAAATAATTTAACTACCAGCTCACTGCCCTAATGACCATTTAAAGTATAAAAAATGATATACCTAAAGGTAGTTTATTATCTTATGTGGTTGATACTTAAATAAGATCAATAAGAGAGTTACATTAAATTAGATTATAAGAGTTTAAAATATTAATGAAAAATTAATACCCAACCAAAAAAACAATCAAACTGTTATTTAAGACATTTCCATGTTGCTTCTTGCTTGGCATCCTCACTTGCAATATTCTTCACTTTGATCCAAACATCATCGGCTGTGTGATTGAACCTTAACTATCTTCTCACTGCAGGGGCAGGGCCCCATTCCTTCAGAGTAGTGCCAATTAGACGATAGTTACTGTGTTTGAGTTATCAGAAGCAGCATTTCTAGCATAGTTCCATCTAATTTTTTATATCTATGTGTGTTAG